AGACCATCACCCTGCCACTCTAGAGATCATCACCCTGCCTCTCTAGAGACCATCACCCTGCCACTCTAGAGACCATCACCCTGCCGCTCTAGAGACCATCACCCTGCCGCTCTAGAGATCATCACCCTGCCACTCTAGAGACCATCACCCTGCCGCTCTAGAGACCATCACCCTGCCGCTCTAGAGATCATCACCCTGCCGCTCTAGAGACCATCACCCTGCCACTCTAGAGATCATCACCCTGCCGCTCTAGAGACCATCACCCTGCCACTCTAGAGATCATCACCCTGCCGCTCTAGAGCCCATCACCCTGCCACTCTAGAGACCATCACCCTGCCACTCTAGAGACCATCACCCTGCCACTCTAGAGACCATCACCCTGCCGCTCTAGAGATCATCACCCTGCCACTCTAGAGACCATCACCCTGCCACTCTAGAGATCATCACCCTGCCACTCTAGAGACCATCACCCTGCCACTCTAGAGACCATCACCCTGCCGCTCTAGAGACCATCACCCTGCCACTCTAGAGACCATCACCCTGCCACTCTAGAGATGATCACCCTGCCACTCTAGAGACCATCACCCTGCCACTCTAGAGACCATCACCCTGCCGCTCTAGAGATCATCACCCTGCCACTCTAGAGACCATCACCCTGCCACTCTAGAGACCATCACCCTGCCGCTCTAGAGATCATCACCCTGCCACTCTAGAGACCATCACCCTGCCACTCTAGAGATCATCACCCTGCCGCTCTAGAGATCATCACCCTGCCACTCTAGAGACCATCACCCTGCCGCTCTAGAGACCATCACCCTGCCACTCTAGAGACCATCACCCTGCCACTCTAGAGACCATCACCCTGCAACTCTAGAGACCATCACCCTGCCGCTCTAGAGATCATCACCCTGCCACACTAGAGACCATTACCCTGCCACTCTAGAGATCATCACCCTGCCACTCTAGAGATCATCACCCTGCCGCTCTAGAGACCATCACCCTGCCGCTCTAGAGACCATCACCCTGCCACACTAGAGACCATTACCCTGCCACTCTAGAGATCATCACCCTGCCACTCTAGAGATCATCACCCTGCCGCTCTAGAGACCATCACCCTGCCGCTCTAGAGACCATCACCCTGCCACTCTAGAGATCATCACCCTGCCTCTCTAGAGATCATCACCCTGCCGCTCTAGAGATCATCACCCTGCCACTCTAGAGATCATCACCCTGCCGCTCTAGAGACCATCACCCTGCCACTCTAGAGACCATCACCCTGCCACTCTAGAGACCATCACCCTGCCGCTCTAGAGACCATCACCCTGCCACTCTAGAGATCATCACCCTGCCGCTCTAGAGACCATCACCCTGCCACTCTAGAGATCATCACCCTGCCGCTCTAGAGACCATCACCCTGCCACTCTAGAGACCATCACCCTGCCACTCTAGAGATCATCACCCTGCCACTCTAGAGACCATCACCCTGCCACTCTAGAGACCATCACCCTGCCACTCTAGAGATCATCACCCTGCCGCTCTAGAGACCATCACCCTGCAATTAGATCATCACCCTGCCGCTCTAGAGACCATCACCCTGCCACTCTAGAGATCATCACCCTGCCACTCTAGAGACCATCACCCTGCCACTCTAGAGATCATCACCCTGCCACTCTAGAGACCATCACCCTGCCACTCTAGAGATCATCACCCTGCCACTCTAGAGATCATCACCCTGCCGCTCCTGGAGATCATCACCCTGCCACTCTAGAGACCATCACCCTGCCACTCTAGAGATCATCAGCCTGCCACTCTAGAGACCATCACCCTGCCACTCTAGAGACCATCACCCTGCCGCTCTAGAGACCATCACCCTGCCACTCTAGAGATCATCACCCTGCCACTCTAGAGATCATCACCCTGCCGCTCTAGAGATCATCACCCTGCCACTCTAGAGATCATCACCCTGCCGCTCTAGAGACCATCACCCTGCCACTCTAGAGACCATCACCCTGCCACTCTAGAGACCATCACCCTGCCACTCTAGAGATCATCACCCTGCCGCTCTAGAGACCATCACCCTGCCACTCTAGAGATCATCACCCTGCCGCTCTAGAGACCATCACCCTGCCACTCTAGAGATCATCACCCTGCCGCTCTAGAGACCATCACCCTGCCGCTCTAGAGACCATCACCCTGCCACTCTAGAGACCATCACCCTGCCACTCTAGAGACCATCACCCTGCCGCTCTAGAGACCATCACCCTGCCACTCTAGAGACCATCACCCTGCCACTCTAGAGACCATCACCCTGCCGCTCTAGAGCCCATCACCCTGCCGCTCTAGAGATCATCACCCTGCCACTCTAGAGACCATCACCCTGCCACTCTAGAGATCATCACCCTGCCACTCTAGAGATCATCACCCTGCCGCTCTAGAGACCATCACCCTGCCACTCTAGAGACCATCACCCTGCCGCTCTAGAGACCATCACCCTGCCGCTCTAGAGATCATCACCCTGCCGCTCTAGAGACCATCACCCTGCCACTGTAGAGATCATCACCCTGCCACTCTAGAGACCATCACCCTGCCACTCTAGAGACCATCACCCTGCCACTCTAGAGACCATCACCCTGCCGCTCTAGAGACCATCACCCTGCCTCTCTAGAGATCATCCCCCTGCCACTCTAGAGACCATCACCCTGCTGCTCTAGAGACCATCACCCTGCCACTCTAGAGACCATCACCCTGCCACTCTAGAGACCATCACCCTGCCGCTCTAGAGACCATCACCCTGCCACTCTAGAGACCATCACCCTGCCACTCTAGAGACCATCACCCTGCCGCTCTAGAGATCATCACCCTGCCGCTCTAGAGACCATCACCCTGCCGCTCTAGAGATCATCACCCTGCCGCTCTAGAGACCATCACCCTGCCGCTCTAGAGACCATCACCCTGCCACTCTAGAGACCATCACCCTGCCACTCTAGAGACCATCACCCTGCCGCTCTAGAGATCATCACCCTGTCGCTCTAGAGACCATCACCCTGCCACTCTAGAGACCATCACCCTGCCACTCTAGAGACCATCACCCTGCCACTCTAGAGACCATCACCCTGCCGCTCTAGAGATCATCACCCTGCCGCTCTAGAGACCATCACCCTGCCACTCTAGAGAGCATCACCCTGCCACTCTAGAGATTATCACCCTGCCACTCTAGAGACCATCACCCTGCCACTCTAGAGACCATCACCCTGCCACTCTAGAGACCATCACCCTGCCGCTCTAGAGATCATCACCCTGCCACTCTAGAGACCATCACCCTGCCGCTCCTGGAGACCATCACCCTGCCGCTCTAGAGATCATCACCCTGCCACTCTAGAGACCATCACCCTGCCGCTCTAGAGACCATCACCCTGCCGCTCTAGAGACCATCACCCTGCCACTCTAGAGACCATCACCCTGCCACTCTAGAGACCATCACCCTGCCACTCTAGAGACCATCACCCTGCCGCTCCTGGAGACCATCACCCTGCCGCTCTAGAGATCATCACCCTGCCGCTCTAGAGACCATCACCCTGCCACTCTAGAGACCATCACCCTGCCACTCTAGAGACCATCACCCTGCCGCTCTAGAGACCATCACCCTGCCACTCTAGAGACCATCACCCTGCCACTCTAGAGACCATCACCCTGCCACTCTAGAGACCATCACCCTGCCGCTCTAGAGACCATCACCCTGCCACTCTAGAGATCATCACCCTGCCACTCTAGAGATCATCACCCTGCCACTCTAGAGACCATCACCCTGCCACTCTAGAGACCATCACCCTGCCACTCTAGAGACCATCACCCTGCCACTCTAGAGACCATCACCCTGCCACTCTAGAGACCATCACCCTGCCACTCTAGAGACCATCACCCTGCCGCTCTAGAGACCATCACCCTGCCACTCTAGAGACCATCACCCTGCCACTCTAGAGACCATCACCCTGCCGCTCTAGAGATCATCACCCTGCCACTCTAGAGACCATCACCCTGCCACTCTAGAGACCATCACCCTGCCGCTCTAGAGACCATCACCCTGCCACTCTAGAGATCATCACCCTGCCACTCTAGAGATCATCACCCTGCCACTCTAGAGACCATCACCCTGCCACTCTAGAGACCATCACCCTGCCACTCTAGAGACCATCACCCTGCCACTCTAGAGACCATCACCCTGCCACTCTAGAGACCATCACCCTGCCGCTCCTGGAGACCATCACCCTGCCGCTCTAGAGATCATCACCCTGCCACTCTAGAGACCATCACCCTGCCGCTCTAGAGATCATCACCCTGCCACTCTAGAGACCATCACCCTGCCGCTCTAGAGACCATCACCCTGCCGCTCTAGAGACCATCACCCTGCCACTCTAGAGACCATCACCCTGCCATTCTAGAGACCATCACCCTGCCGCTCCTGGAGACCATCACCCTGCCGCTCTAGAGATCATCACCCTGCCGCTCTAGAGACCATCACCCTGCCACTCTAGAGACCATCACCCTGCCACTCTAGAGACCATCACCCTGCCGCTCTAGAGACCATCACCCTGCCACTCTAGAGACCATCACCCTGCCACTCTAGAGACCATCACCCTGCCACTCTAGAGACCATCACCCTGCCGCTCTAGAGACCATCACCCTACCACTCTAGAGATCATCACCCTGCCACTCTAGAGATCATCACCCTGCCACTCTAGAGACCATCACCCTGCCACTCTAGAGGACCATCACCCTGCCACTCTAGAGACCATCACCCTGCCACTCTAGAGACCATCACCCTGCCACTCTAGAGACCATCACCCTGCCACTCTAGAGACCATCACCCTGCCACTCTAGAGACCATCACCCTGCCACTCTAGAGACCATCACCCTGCCACTCTAGAGACCATCACCCTGCCACTCTAGAGACCCGGCCGTTACGAACCTCCTCTTCTTCCTCGTCCACCTGGGTTTCATACCTTGACGATGAAGCCCCCGGGGCAGGCCTGGTCGTAGCGGTAGACCTTGTAGACGACGAGGAACACGACGCAGGAGAGAAACGCGAGCGCGAAGAAGATCAGCACCGTGGCCTGCGCACGCACAGAGACAAAGGTTCCCCGCTTGGCCATACAGACTATGGGGCAAGGGCTGTTCGCGAGCACGGCACACGAGGGAGTGGGTGGCCAACACGCCCGGTCGCCTTTGTCTGCCCGGTGCTGATGTTTACACAGGGCACTAGGTGCAGTAATCATTTGGGGCAGAGTCTACCTAAGGGAGATCCAGAACCCCCCGCACCTCCGATTACCACGGTTGGCTACGTACGGTGCGAAAGAAATTCATCATACATACAACCAGCTCAAACATTCGCAAATGATATTGTTTATAAGTGGGACGCGACATCGGCTCGCCAGGTTGGTAGCTCAGTGCACGACTGCTCTCCGCGCAAAACCGCATCCTGCGGGTCCACGCACGAGTCGCCATCGCCTCCTCCTGCTGCTGCTGCTGCCAGTCCCCGTGAGAGCCCCCCTCGCCACCGCCTGGCGGCCTGATGTCTCCTGGGGTCTCCTGGGGTCTCCTGGGCACCCTTGGTCGCTGATCTCGAGGTGCCACTCCAACGCTCGTCTCGTCCCCTGCCCACGTGTCCCGCCTACCACGATCTCCTCCTGACCACGTGGGTACATCTCTCCTGCCACCTTCTGTCGCCAGCCTCCTCATACGAGGCGGGGGCCAGAGGACAACCCCCTGCCCCCCCCCCTCGGTTACAGCTGCTGCCCTCTCAGCTGCAGCTCCTCAGCGTTGGCTCCGCTTTATTTGTACTCATCATCTCCTCGTCCCCCCCCCCCACTTTGCCCCCCACTGGGAGTTTAAAGGGCGACACCTTGAATCTGTCGGAGGCCGCCTCTCCGATGTCGATGGTGAGCTCCGTGACGCGGTGCAGGCGGCCATCGCGCGCCGGGTCGAACGCCGTGCGCGTCTTCACGGGGCTCTGCAGATGGGGGGGGGGGGGGTCAAAGTCACTCCCTGCTCTCATGGTCGATTACTTCACGTCCACTCCCACGTGCTCCACCTACCCTACTTCGTCTCCCTCCCCCACCTCCTTCTCCACCACCCCCATCAACACCCCCACCTCGTTACCTCCTCGCACACGGAGTGCTCGAGCTGCTCCACGTCGAGGACGGTGAGGCCCGGCGGGGGGCCCCCACCCTGGGGAGGGGGCCCTCCCCCCTCCTGGCTCCCCTTGGGCTCCTTGGGCTCTTTGACTCGCGGTTTCCCGAGCTGCACCATGGTGCTGCTGGTGCTGCTGGTGCTGGTGGCGACGAGGAGGAGGAGGAGGAGCAGTGAATCCTGTCCACATCGTCATCATGCACATCAGCGGGGTCGTCGTTATACAACAGCGGTCACACAGGGCTGGACAGTGTGCCATGGAGAAGGGCCGATGCTCGACTATTAATGTCCTTGTAAGGCCACGCGCACACACGGGGCGATGTTATTGACAAGGAGTGTGTTTAGTTATTTGTGCACATTTGCTAATGCAGTAGCAGCTACTCATGATGTGTCTCATTGTTGGATAAGGGGGTTCGAGGTGATTGAACAGTCAGCTCCTGTCTACAAATGCGTATCCCTCCGCTCCTCCATTGTCCATTTCGCAATCTTGGTGGAGTTTTAACGTTCCGGAGATGTCTAAATTCCAGCAGATCTGTACGCGTTTCCGCGGATTTCTAAATCCCAGATTATCTGTATGCGCTTCCGCGGATTTCTAAATTCCAGCTGCTCCTGTATACGCTCCTTCAGATTTCTAAATCCCAGCTGGTCTGTATGTGCTTCCGCGGATTTTTAAATCCCAGATGATTTGTAAACGCTTCTTCAGATTTCTAAATCCCAGCTGATATTTATGCGCTTCCGCGGATTTCTAAATCCTAGCTGCTCTGTATACGCTCCTGCAGATTTCTAAATCCCAGCCGATCTGTATGCATTCCCTCGGATTTCTAAATCCCATATGATCTGTGCTTCCGCGGATTTCTACACCCCAGCTGATCTGTATGCGACGCGCGGCGGAGGCCAAATCCACACTGAGAACAAAAGATGAATGTAGAAAATATTTGAGGGGGAGAAATATTACAGGGAGGGAGATGTGGCAGCAAGGTGTGTTGAGGGAGGTGTGGCGATTCAAGATGCGGGATAGAGTGCACTGTATGGAGGGAAATTAGAGATGTATGCAGAGGTAGACGCGTGGAATGGAAGATGTGTAGGGATGTATGTAGGGAGATGTATGAGAGATGTGTTGGGGAGATGTGTTCGAGAGATGTGTGCGAGAGAGATGGGTGGGAGAGAGATGGGTGGGAGAGAGATGGGTGTTGGGGAGATGGGTGGGAGAGAGATGTGTTGGGGAGATGGGTGTTAGAGAGATGGGTGGGAGAGATGGGTGGGAGAGAGATGGGTGGGAGAGAGATGTGTTGGGGAGAGATGGGTGGGAGAGATGGGTGGGAGAGATGGGTGGGAGAGAGATGGATGGGAGAGAGATGTGTTGGGGAGAGATGCGTGGGAGAGATGTGTGGGAGAGAGATGGGTGGGATAGAGAGATGGGTGTTAGAGAGATGGGTGGGAGAGAGATGGGTGGGAGAGAGATGTGTTGGGGAAGATGGGTGGGAGAGAGATCTGTTGGGGAGATGGGTGTTAGAGAGATGGGTGGGAGAGAGATTGGTGGGAGAGAGATGTGTGGGAGAGAGATGTGTTGGGGAGATGGGTGGGAGAGAGATGGGTGGGAGAGAGATGTGTTGGGGAGATGGGTGTGAGAGATGGGTGGGAGAGATGGGTGGGAGAGAGATGTGTTGGGGAGATAGGTGGGAGAGATGGGTGGGAGAGAGATGGGTGGGAGAGAGATCTGTTGGGGAGATGGGTGGGAGAGAGATGGGTGGGAGAGAGATGGGTGGGAGAGAGATGTGTTTGAGAGATGGGTGTTAGAGAGATGGGTGGGAGAGAGATGTGTTGGGGAGATCGGTGTTAGAGAGATGGGTGGGAGAGAGATGGGTAGGAGAGAGATGGGTGGGAGAGAGATGTATTGGGGAGATGGGTGGGAGAGAGATGTGTTGGAGAGATGGGTGGGAGAGAGATGTGTTGGAGAGATGGGTGGGAGAGATGGGTGGAGAGATGGGTGTGGGAGAGAGATGGGTGTTAGAGAGATGGGTGTAGAGAGATGGGCGGGAGAGAGATGTGTGTTCGAGAGAGATCTGTTGGGGAGAGATGGGTGGGAGAGAGATGGGTGTTAGAGAGATCTGTGGGGAGATGGGTGGGAGAGAGATCTGTTGGGGAGAGATGGGTGGGAGAGAGATGGGTGTTAGAGAGATCTGTTGGGGAGATGGGTGTTAGAGAGAGAGATGTGTTGGGGAGATGGGTGTTAGAGAGATCTGTTGGGGAGATGGGTGTTAGAGAGAGATGTTGGGGAGATGGGTGTTAGAGAGATGTTGGGGAGATGGGTGTTAGAGAGATCTGTTGGGGAGATGGGGTGTTAGAGAGAGATGTGTTGGGGAGATGGGTGTTAGAGAGATCTGTTGGGGAGATGGGTGTTAGAGAGATCTGTTGGGGAGATGGGTGTTAGAGAGAACTGTTGGGGAGATGGGTGTTAGAGAGATCTGTTGGGGAGATGGGTGTTAGAGAGAGATGTGTGGGAGAGATGGGTGTTAGAGAGATCTGTTGGGGAGATGGGTGTTAGAGAGATCTGTTGGGGAGATAGGTGTTAGAGAGAGATGTGTGGGAGAGATGGGTGGGAGAGAGATGTGTTGGGGAGATAGGTGGGAGAGATGGGTGGGAGAGAGAGATGGGTGGGAGAGAGATCTGTTGGGGAGATGGGTGGGAGAGAGATGGGTGGGAGAGAGATGGGTGGGAGAGAGATGTGTTTGAGAGATGGGTGTTAGAGAGATGGGTGGGAGAGATGTGTTGGGGAGATCGGTGTTAGAGAGATGGGTGGGAGAGAGATGGGTAGGAGAGAGATGGGTGGGAGAGAGATGTATTGGGGAGATGGGTGGGAGAGAGATGTGTTGGAGAGATGGGTGGGAGAGAGATGTGTTGGAGAGATGGGTGGGAGAGAGATGGGTGGGAGAGAGATGTGTGGGAGAGAGATGGGTGTTAGAGAGATGGGCGGGAGAGAGATGTGTGTTCGAAAGAGATCTGTTGGGGAGAGATGGGTGGGAGAGAGATGGGTGTTAGAGAGATCTGTTGGGGAGATGGGTGTTAGAGAGATCTGTTGGGGAGATGGGCTGGGAGAGAGATGGGTGGGAGAGAGACTGTTGGGGAGATGGGTGTTAGAGAGATCTGTTGGGGAGATGGGTGTTAGAGAGAGATGTGTGGGAGAGATGGGTGTTAGAGAGATCTGTTGGGGAGATGGGTGTTAGAGAGATGTGTGGGAGATGGGTGTTAGAGAGAGATGTGTGGGAGAGATGGGTGTTAGAGAGATCTGTTGGAGAGATGGGTGTTAGAGAGATCTGTTGGGGAGATGGGTGTTAGAGAGATCTGTGGGGAGATGGGTGTTAGAGAGAGATGTGTGGGAGAGATGAGTGTTAGAGAGATCTGTTGGGGAGATGGGTGTTAGAGAGAGATGTGTGGGAGAGATGGGTGTTAGAGAGATATGTTGGGGAGACTGGGTGTTAGAGAGAGATGTGTGGGGAGAGATGGGTGTTAGAGAGATCTGTTGGGGAGATGGGTGTTAGAGAGAGATGTGTGGGAGAGATGGGTGTTAGAGAGATCTGTTGGGGAGATGGGTGTTAGAGAGATCTGTTGGGAGATAGGTGTTAGAGAGATGTTGGGGAGATGGGTTGTTAGAGAGATCTGTTGGGAGATGGGTGTTAGAGAGATCTGTTGGGGAGATGGGTGTTAGAGAGAGATGTGTGGGAGAGATGGGTGTTAGAGAGATCTGTTGGGGAGAGGGGGGAGAGAGATCTGTGGGGAGATGGGTGGGAGAGAGATGGGTGGGAGAGAGGATCTGTTGGGGAGATGGGTGTAGAGAGATCTGTTGGGGAGATGGGTGTTAGAGAGAGATGTGTGGGAGCGAGGGTGTTAGAGAGATCTGTTGGGGAGATGGGTGGAGAGAGATCTGTTGGGGGAGATGGGTGTTAGAGAGATCTGTTGGGGAGATGGGTGTTAGAGAGATGGGTGTTAGAGAGATCTGCTGGGGAGATGGGTGTTTAGAGAGAGATGTGTGGGAGAGATGGGTGTTAGAGAGATCTGTTGGGGTGGGAGAGAGATCTGTTGGGGAGATGGGTGGGAGAGAGATGGGTGGGAGGAGAGATCTGTTGGGGAGATGGGTGTTAGAGAGATCTGTTGGGGAGATGGGTGTTAGAGAGAGATGTGTGGGAGAGATGGGTGTTAGAGAGATCTGTTGGGGAGATGGGGTGGGAGAGAGATCTGTTGGGGAGATGGGTGTTAGAGAGATCTGTTGGGGAGATGGTGTTAGAGGATCTGTTGGGGAGATGGGTGTTAGAGAGATGGTGTTAGAGAGATCTGTTGGGGAGATGGGTGTTAGAGAGAGATGTGTGGGAGAGATGGGTGTTAGAGAGATCTGTTGGGGAGATGGGTGGGAGAGAGATCTGTTGGGGAGATGGGTGGAGAGAGATGGGTGGGAGAGAGATCTGTTGGGGAGATGGGTGTTAGAGAGATCTGTTGGGGAGATGGGTGTTAGAGAGAGATGTGTGGGATGAGATGGGTGGTTAGAGAGATCTGTTGGGGAGATGGGTGGGAGAGCGATCTGTTGGGGAGATGGGTGTTAGAGAGATCTGTTGGGGATGGGTGTTAGAGAGATCTGTTGGGGAGATGGGTGTTTAGAGAGATGTTGGGGAGATGGGTGTTAGAGAGATGTTGGGGAGATGGTGTTAGAGAGATCTGTTGGGAGATGGGTGGGAGAGAGATGGGGGGAGAGAGATGGTGGGAGAGATCTGTTGGGGAGATGGGTGGGAGAGATTGGGTGGGAGAGAGATGGGTGTTAGAGAGATCTGTTGGGGAGATGGGTGGGAGAGAGATGGGTGGAGAGATGGGTGGGAGAGATCTGTTGGGGAGATGGTGGGAGAGAGATGGGTGGGAGAGAGATGGGTGGGAGAGAGATCTGTTGGGGAGATGGGTGGGAGAGAGATCTGTTGGGGAGATGGGTGGGAGAGATCTGTTGGGGAGATGGGGGGAGAGATGGTGGGAGAGAGATCTGTTGGGGAGATGGGTGGGAGAGAGATGTTGGGGAGATGGGTGGGAGAAGATGGG